TTTTCTCCCCCCTCTCTCTCTCTCTCTCTCTCTCTCTCTCTCTCTCTCTCTCTCTCTCTCTCTCTCTCTCTTGCTTCATAAAATCTTTTCCTGTGTAAATGGTAGGATAATTTTTGAAGGATAATACTCGATAGAAGAAATGTTGAATTATTTAAAATTTTTCTTTTTCTATCTGACAAAAAAATTATCAAAAATATCATTTAATGAGCTTTCTCTTCTCTTTCTTACTTCTATTATCGATACTTTTCTCCTCCCTCCTCTCTCTCTTTTTCTATTTGTCACTTTTCTTTTTCTATCTGACAAAAAAATGATCAGAAATATCATTTAATAAGCTTTCTCTTCTCTTTCTTATTTCTATTATCGATACTTTTCTCCTCCCCCTCTCTTTCTCTCTCTCTTGCTTTATAAAATCTTTTCCCTTCCTCATCACTTATTCTTTTCTTTCCCCTCTTTTCCCTATTTTTATCTCTTACCAACATTGCTGTGCCCATACCCACCTCTCCCCCTTTTCCAAAACTTATATATACAAAATGTTCCAGATTTTTCCCCGCAATTTTTATGGAAACATAAAACGGATTGTATATTAAGTCAAATTGAATAAAAAGGCCCTTTATTATTTTGCAAATAACCACGTAGATCTTTAGTGATTAATGAAAGAAAATTGTTAATAATATGTGCAATAATGCACAAATTTTTTTTAACTAATATTTCGATTATTATTGCAAATATTGCGAAACGGTATTGGACTTTTATGTTCACTTCAATCCATTCTACGTTCTCATAAAAATTGGGGAGGAGAGTCTGGGACATCCTGTATATATGTGTGTGTGTGTGCGTGAGTATAGTAGCAGCAGTAGTAGTAAAATAACAATATAAATAAAATGATAATATTAAAACAATAACGATAATAATAGTAATAAAAATGTGATATTAATTCGCGGAATAATCTCCTCAGTTTTAACGGCGGTTACTTGCACGGTTCGATAAGAAACGACACGCAACGCGACGCGCCCAACAATCGAACTACCGTCCTGACAAGCAATAATCGTAGTCTGAGTCCTAATAATTCGCTCGAAAGCCATGGTCAATCGATTCGTCGTTACACAGTTACGCCTAATCAGGTGAGTGGAAACTCGATAAGTGCTTTTGTCGATATTTCCAAGTGACTAAATCAAGAATCCAGTGCCATGCACTTGAATAGCGATCATATAAATTCTCCTCAGAAGCGTGAAAATGTGAAAAGTAAGAAGTTTCATACGCACTCGAAAATGTGAAAAGTAAAAAGTTTCATACGCACTCGCAACTTTAGCAATTACTTAACTCTTAACTTTTATTGCTATTGAATATAAAGAGAAAATGTCTCGTTTTAGCAACAAAATTGTCTTTCATTTTCCAGTTCTGCTAACAAGAGACAAAACCCAAATGTGACACGCCATTTTTCTTGAAACTCAGCATGCACATAGCATATGACATGATATTTCATATTTAATATAGGAATCAATATAGAAATTTTATCTTATCTTATCATTTTATTTTATCCATTTCAATCTTATCTAATCATTTTCTATCAAATCTTTTAAGCAGGAGTTATTTGTAAGTAAGTTAACTGTCGATTAGCTTACTCAAAATTTATAAAAAGCCGCTCTGTGTCTCGTAGATAGGATGGATCGGCGAGCTCAGGGATTCGCGCAGGAACTCGTTACGCGGATACGAGAACGTTCGTGAGACATCCACGAAGAAGACGCTGCCATTGGACGAGATGCTTGTTCTGTCCTCGACTCCCCGCACGATCAACAATCTCTCAATGGAGACTGGTCCACTGCCGAGAATAAAACGACTTTCTGAGCAAGAGGAAGAACATTCGAGAACGGGCGAGCAGACACCGCCGTCGAACGGCCACGGGAGCGCGAGCAGCGTCGAGAGAATCAAAAAGATATTCATGTTCTTCGAGCCAAAAGGATGCCTAAAGGAGCGCGACGATTATTCCCTGTATCTATTCCCACCTAACAATAGGTAATGTTGATAATTGATGTTACTACTTGACTGACGCTTATAATTTTACGAAGAATATTATATTTTAATGGCTCTTATTGATCAAACAAAAACTTTGGGGAATAAGGGTCTATACACTGAGAGAAAAATTATCTTAAAATCAACAAATATTTCTTTGATGGGTTGCCATTAACATATTTATTTAAATCTAAATTCTCTTAATTTAAATTAAGTATTGTTTACCTGATTTAAGTAAACAATATTTGGTTTAAATAAAAAGAATTTAGATTTAAATAAATATGTTAATGGCATCCATCAAGGAAATATTTGTTGATTTTAAGGTAATTTTTCTCTCAATGTAGAACCACTAATGACGTAATGTCATAAAACAAAACGCATTCAGCGTTCAATAAGAGAATTAATTTTTCTGCATTTTTCAGAAAATAAATTCTCTTATTAGATATTAGAGACTTCCTGAAATTTGCCAAGAAAAAATTGTTGCAATAAATACAATTTTTTTATCTCTACATAAGTGAGGATAGATACTAGATTTATAGTTTATATTTATATTTATATTTATAGTTTAGTTATTTAGATTTATATTTTTAGTTTTATAACATTATGTTAAAATTCTCTTATTAGATATTAGAGACTTCCTGAAATTTGCCAAGAAAAAATTGTTGCAATAAATATAATTTTTTTATCTCTACATAAGTGAGGATAGATACTAGATTTATAGCTTATATTTATATTTATATTTATAGTTTAGTTATTTAGATTTCTATTTTTAGTTTTATAACATTATGTCATCCGTGTTAGTGGTTCTATAGGCTCTTATTCCCCCTGTAGAGCCACGGATGATGTAGTGTTATAAAACTAGCTATAAATCACATAACCTTTTTAATATGCAATTCTTCACTACTTTTTAACGAACTTTTATTTTCAGCATAAAATAAATTATATATACAGATATAAATATGTGTACACAATAATAGCTTCAACATTTGCAAAATTTAGTTCCAAACGAATTTCTTAATTATGCGCGATATGTCTATATATTTATGCATCATAACTGTTAATTATTTCGAGAAAGCAACTCTGTCAGGACAATCAATAGTCATGATGCGCGAATAAATATACATATTACGCATAATCGATAAATTCGTTTGGAACTACACTGAGAAAAAAATACTTGAAAATTTATTTCACAAATTTACTTCAAACAAATTTTATCTCTCAGAAATATATTTTATATCACGGAAATAAATTTTGTATCATACAAATAAATTTCCAAGTGTCTTTTCCTCAGTGTAGGACTAGAGTAGATGTTAAGAGACTCTTATGTCGGAATGTATACGACGGCGATGACGATGGCAACAATAGCGATCATAACGACGACGACAATGACGACAATGACCACTGTAACGTTCATTATGACGACAACAACACAATAATGGCCACGAAGATGGTCAACACACAATAATGGAGATAACGTTCCCATACAGGTCGCAATCTTATGTATACATGATGACGACAACGGCAATAGTGACAGCGACGACGGCAAAAGCGACGACGACAACAGCGAGTGAGACAATGATGACGTTGACGATGACCACAATGACGTTTACTGTGACGGCAACAGCACGCGCGACTACGGAAACGACCACGACGAATATAACGTTCTCATATCAACTTTTCTTACCAGGGATTCAAATATACTCGTACATGCACTGCGGATGTGGCTTGAGGAACAAACTTGCTTTGAGTGTGTGTGATACTGAAATATGAGCCAAAAAAATTTTTTTAAATTGACTTTTTCGCCTGTCAAACTTGGAGAACTCAGGGTTGACTCAGGCATCGATTTTAACCCTCCATTACCCTCGTTCGGCTGACGAACGTTAATGCTCTCGTATGAGAATTACTCTAAACAGAATTTGGCCACGAATGACGTAAACATAATAGTAGTTTCTGTGACTGATGTTTTCTTTTATATATTTGGCGTCGCGGCACCACCGTGCCGCTTGATTGACTCGCAATAAGCAATAGATTTCCCCTTTTTGTACAATTCAAGAATGTTTGCGATGTAAGAAGTATTCATAAGTTTTTTTGCGTACTACAGGTTCCGTATTTTCTGTCGATGGTTCGTCGATCAAAAGTGGTTCGACAATGTAGTGTTGCTGTTCATTGGATTAAACTGCATCACTTTGGCGATGGAACGGCCAAACATACCACCGGACAGTCGCGAGAGAGTTTTTCTATCCACCGCGAATTACATTTTTACCGGCGTTTTTGCCATCGAGATGTTCGTTAAGGTAACGTATAATAAAATACACACGTTCCGATGCTTTTGGTAAAACTTCGTTCTAAGAAAATCCGCGGGAAAGAAAGATAAGAAACTATCCCACACAACACAACGTCTAAAATCGGGACATAAGACGTCTGAAAGGCATCTTAAAAACGTCTCTCACTCCTTGTCCACAACCTTGCTTTAATTGAAATAGAAATAGAAATATAAATAGAAATATTTTAATAGAAATTGACCAACCACAGTTGATTATTTTTAAAATAATCGACTATGGTTGGTCGATTTATTACGGCTTAAAGATTAATCCATTAAGGCTAAAAAAAAAACCGCTAATAATAGGCTTTCAAAAACTATTCAAATTAGGGCAAAACGTCGAAAGTTGTTAAAAAGTGAAAAAAAATTTGTATTGGATTTCAAAATTCAAGATGGTGGACCAATATGTCGGCCCGAAAATTTGAAATTTTGACCTTTTTGAGTGAAAATCCCTATAGGGGGGGTTTGGGGTTCGTTGAGTATGAATATGCACTTATTTTTTCAAAATTCGTAATGGCAGATCCAATATGGCCGCCCAAAAATGCGAAAATTTGACATAGTTGTTATTTGGCGAAAAATCCAATCAAATTATAAGCTTTCGAAGGTGTTTGTTTTGGAGCAAAACATCATATTTTAGCAAACTGTAGAAGAAAAATGGTTTTTTACTTTAAAAATTAATATGGCTGCCAAAAATTTTTAATTTTGATTTATTTCAATGAAAATATATTTTGAAATTTTGCGTTCTTACGCAACAAAAAGTTGCATAAGATGTTTTTTAGATATCTTTTCGGTATTTTTTAGACATGCATGTTATCTGGGATTATAATTACAAGTCCCTAGAAAATAATTAATACTTCATTAATGTTATTTGCACGATGTAGGTTGTCGCGTCGGGAATGTTGTACGGTTCAGACGCGTATTTCACCTCGGGCTGGAATATCATGGACGGATCTCTCGTTATCATTTCCATAATCGACTTGTCGATGTCGTTATTGTCATCCAGTAGCCCCAGAATATTTGGGATATTAAGAGTAAGTTTTTTTATTTACATTATACATTACATTAATTTTTTTCTAGTGTATTAGACATACACTGAATATAAGGAGATGTTAGAAGAAGAAATCAAATCAAATCGAAAGTAGAAATAAAATTTCGACTCGGGATAAAAGAAGAAACTTTTACGAAAATGTATTATAAGAAAACTACTGAGAACAGTATTATTTTCATCGATTAACGAAAATACATCTTTTCAACTATTGAAAACTTACATTAAAACTATTTATAAAATTAACAAATAGGTTTTCTATAATTTTCCAATAGTATTATAATAAATATACAGTAGTATTCCAATATTTTTCAATAGTGCTTCAATAGTTTTCCTATATTGTTCTCAGTAATTTTTTCTTATTGGTTTTTTCCGTAAGGGAACCCTTAGGAAAAATTTCTTTAAGATGTTCAAATTAACTTTAAGCAACTTTAAGTTAATTTGAACAACTTAAAATAATTTTTCCTAAAAGAAGAAGTAAAGGAGAGGGAGGAAAGAGATTTTATTTGGATTGTATACTTTATTAAAAATTTACCTCTTGCTGAGTACGTAAATGCTTTGCTCTAATCGATTATTTATTATAATCTTGTAGGTTTTTAGATTGCTGAGGTCACTGAGACCCCTGCGAGTCATCAATCGCGCGCCTGGTTTAAAACTGGTCGTTCAGACTTTGTTGTCCTCATTACGACCCATCGGCAACATCGTCCTGATTTGTTGCACGTTCTTTGTAATCTTCGGTATCCTCGGAGTGCAACTCTTTAAGGGTGCTTTCTATTATTGCGAAGGTCCTGACATTAAGAACGTACGCAATAAGACGGACTGTCTGTCCGACCATCGGAACGTATGGCTGAATAGAAAGTACAACTTCGACGATCTCGGGAAAGCTCTCATGTCGTTGTTCGTCTTGTCATCGCGAGACGGTTGGGTGAACATCATGTACACCGGTTTGGACGCAGTTGGAGTCGATCAGCAGGTGAAAGAAATTCGTCAAACGACGGAAACAAATCTTTTTCATTCTCTAACATATTGATTTATTATATAAAAACACAAATATTTCAATAATTTTATGCTTTCGCGGTGGGCAGAAATGTGCTAAGTTTTACGTCAAGTTTGAAGTCACGTTTTTTGCGGATTTACTGTTGAAAACAGATTTACAAAAATTTACGGTTTCAATCCATTAATTAAACCCAGCAATCTTATACGTTTTTCTATACAGGGTGTCCCAGACTCTTCTCCGCATATTTTGTAAGAATGTACAACAAGTCGAAGTGAATATAAAAGTCCTGTACCGTTTTGCGATTTTTGCGATAATAGTCGAGATATTAATTAAAGAAAATTGGTGAATGATCACGCGCGATATGGTAGATGAGCTGCAGTGGCGCCGTCTGCCGTTATACTTATACATTAGCAAACTGAATAAAAAAGTTGTCTACTATTTTGCAAATGACCACATAGATTTTTAGATATTAATTAGAGAAAATTGTTACATGATTGTGTACCATAATGCACAAATTTTCTTTAATTAACTCTCCGTGGACACACTGGGTCCATTTTGTCCGCAGTAAACTCCTATTTTTGTCGAAACTGTTTCCGAATTTTCATTTTTCCTAATTAAACATTTGACTCAAGCAGCGATTGTACATTAAAATAGAGCCTTCAAAAAATATCCCAGAATGTTTTCAGATTTTTTGAAAGCTTAGAACAGTTCAAAAAATAGTCACAGACAAAGTGTGCTTACGAAAAATGAGAAAATCAAATGTACCCACGGAGGGTTCCTCTCTAAAAAAAAGGCATCCTCTCTAATCACTTCATATGGGCTGCGGCTTACTTCGTGTCGTTTGCACCGGTTAAATTACCAGGCAAATAGCTGTCATCGCGTTGGTTAGGTCACAAAAATATACAGAAAAGACATATCTCTTCCTGTCTGTCTCTGCCTCTTTTATCTCTCCCTGTCTCTCTCTGTCTCTGCCTGTCTCTCCCTGCCTCTCCTGTCTCTCCCTGTCTCCCCCTGTCTTTGCCTGTCTCTCCCTGTCTCTCCCTGTCTCTCCCCATTCCCCCCCGTCCCCCCGTCTCTCCCTGTCTCTCCCTGTCTCTCCCTGTCTCTGCCTGTCTCTCCCTGTCTCTCCCCGTCTCTCCCCGTTTCCCCCGTCTCTCCCTCATCTCTCGCTGTCTGTCCCTGTCTTTCCCTGTCTTTCCCTGTCTCTCTCTGTCTTTTTTTCTCTTCCTGTCTCTCCCTGTCTCTCCCTACCTCTCCTGTCTCTCCCCGTCTCTCCCTGTCTCTCTCTGTCTCTGCCTGTCTCTCCCCGTCTCTCCCCGTCTCCCCCGTCTCTCCCGTCTCTCCCCGTCTCTCCCCGTCTCCCCCGTCTCTGCCTGTCTCTCCCTGTCTCTCCCTGTCTCTGCCTGTCTCTCCCCGTCTCTCCCCGTCTCCCCCGTCTCTTCCTGTCTTTCCCCGTCTCTCCCCGTCTCCCCCGTCTCCCCCGTCTCTCCCCATCTCTCCCTATAATTATTAATTAATTAAAGTATATTTTAATTTAATTTATTTTTATTTAATTTTTATTTTACATTTTTTACTATTTTTTATTAGCTATATGGTGCGCGCATGTATTGTTTTAGTAATATCAAAAAATCTTTGTGATCATTTGCAAAATGGTAAAGGACTTTTTTGTTCAGTTTTAATCGCAAAATGGTATAGGACTTTGATGTTCACCTCGATTCCCACAAAATATACGGAGGAGAGTCTGAGACACTCTGTATAACTGAAGAGGCAATACTCTTTATTTATTCGTATAGGTCCATATTCTGAATCCTCTTTTATCTATAAAAGTGCCTCTAAAAGAGGCTTAGGAGCCACCTGATTGTCTGAGAAGCTATATTCAAGGCACTTTTATCTATAAAAGTGCCTCTAAAAGAGGCTTAGGAGCCACCTGATTGTCTGAGAAGCTATATTCAAGGCACTTTTATCTATAAAAGAGGGTTCAGAATATGATGAACCATAGGGCCGAGTTTTCAATGATAGTTCAAACTTTCAACTTAAACTCTGTTTAAACAAAACAAATGCATTGTTAGAATAGAGTTTAAACTTGAATCCAAACTTAAACTACTACTATTGAAAAATCGCCCCATAGAGTTTGTTTCTAATATCTGCAGAAATAATATGATTACATATAAATAAATGTTCCTTGTGGAGCCCGCGACGACTTGTAAGTGAAATTGATTACAGCCTATCGAAAATTACTCCGAGTGGCGATTGTTATATTTCATCGCGTTCATACTGCTGGTGGGTTTCTTCGTGTTGAATATGTTCGTCGGCGTGGTGGTGGAGAATTTTCACAGGTGCCGCGAGGAACAAGAGAAAGAAGAGCGCGTACGTAGAGCCGCCAAGCGAGCGTTGCAGATGGAGAAAAAGAGACGAAGTGAGTGGCCGCGGGCTCAGCTAGGTTAATGCCACTTCTACATCACACTGTACGTAGAGTGATGATGCCGTGTTTGTGTAATGTCGATCGTACTTTCAGAGATGCACGAACCACCGTATTACACCAATTACTCCAAATCACGGCTATTCGTTCACAACGTCGTGACGTCCAAGTACTTCGACCTGGCGATCGCGGCTGTGATCGGTCTCAATGTCGTCACGATGGCGATGGAGTTTTACATGATGCCGAAGGCGCTCACCTACGCGCTGAAGATATTCAACTATTTCTTCACAGCCGTCTTTATTCTCGAGTCATTTATGAAACTTGTCGCTCTTGGTTTGCACCTTTATCTGAAGGATAAGTAAGTATATGTGCATTTCGGTGGATATAATCTTGCAAAATAAAAAACCTGAAATTCAAAAAGTGGGACGATGTCCTGAAAATTGAATATCGAAACAGTCTCAGAAAATGTTGGAAGCAAATAATTGCTCCAAAAAGTTATAATATCTAAATCCAAACATCAAAATAATCTCCCAAAATATAAATTTTTCGAAATGTTGAAACCATAAAATTGCTCCGCAAAGTTATAATATCGCAATCAATATAAAGGAGCAGCATTTCTGATATACAACATATGACTCTAAAATCGATATTCGAGGAAACTTCAATCAACTTTCACTACATTTTAAAGATAACCCAATTCCAATTAATTGTCATAATTATTAATCTATTTTGTGTGACTTTAATTTGCTTATTTCAATTAAGAGAATTCTTACTGATTTTCTCATTGATTTTAAAATTTTCAATCATTTTGTTCATGTCCTGTCTTGGAATAACTAAAATTTAATGTTTCTGCAAAATATTTTAAATATTTTTTCATCTTTTGTATTGAATGTTTCATATATCTTGTATATTAAATTTAGTTACATCAATAGATTCTATATCTTAGTTACTTACCGAGAAATAACTCGTTGATCGACGAGTCATTTCTCGCTGGCTAATGAGTATTCTTTAAATATATATCATCTAAGTTAGTTTTAAATAAATTGCCCCTTTATTTTTTTAACCACTTATTATAATTCTCAAAATTCGTCTTATTAATATATTTTATGTAGATGTTTTATTTAATTACTTATATATATTTATGTATATCTTTATTAATTTACTCATATATATATATATATATATATATATATATATATATATATATATATATATATA